ATGTTCTGCCGCTATACACCTCCCTCTGCTATGTTCTGCCGCTATACACCTCCCTCTGCTATGTTCTGCCGCTATACACCTCCCTCTGCTATGTTCTGCCGCTATACACCTCCCTCTGCTATGTTCTGCCGCTATACACCTCCCTCTGCTATGTTCTGCTGCTATACACCTCCCTCTGCTATGTTCTGCCGGTATACACCTCCCTCTGCTATGTTCTGCCGCTATACACCTCCCTCTGCTATGTTCTGCCGCTATACACCTCCCTCTGCTATGTTCTGCCGCTATACACCTCCCTCTGCTATGTTCTGCCGCTATACACCTCCCTCTGCTATGTTCTGCCGCTATACACCTCACTCTGCTATGTTCTGCCGCTATACACCTCCCTCTGCTATGTTCTGCCGCTATACACCTCCCGCTGCTATGTTCTGCCGCTATACACCTCCCTCTGCTATGTTCTGCCGCTATACACCTCCCTCTGCTATGTTCTGCCGCTATACACCTCCCTCTGCTATGTTCTGCCGCTATACACCTCCCTCTGCTATGTTCTGCCGCTATACACCTCACTCTGCTATGTTCTGCCGGTATACACCTCCCTCTGCTATGTTCTGCCGCTATACACCTCCCTCTGCTATGTTCTGCCGGTATACACCTCCCTCTGCTATGTTCTGCCGCTATACACCTCCCTCTGCTATGTTCTGCCGGTATACACCTCCCTCTGCTATGTTCTGCCGCTATACACCTCCCTCTGCTATGTTCTGCCGCTATACACCTCCCTCTGCTATGTTCTGCCGGTATACACCTCCCTCTGCTATATTCTGCCGCTATACACCTCCCTCTGCTATGTTCTGCCGCTATACACCTCCCTCTGCTATGTTCTGCCGGTATACACCTCCCTCTGCTATGTTCTGCCGGTATACACCTCCCTCTGCTATGTTCTGCCGCTATACACCTCCCTCTGCTATGTTCTGCCGCTATACACCTCCCTCTGCTATGTTCTGCCGGTATACACCTCCCTCTGCTATATTCTGCCGCTATACACCTCCCTCTGCTATGTTCTGCCGCTATACACCTCCCTCTGCTATGTTCTGCCGCTATACACCTCCCTCTGCTATGTTCTGCCGCTATACACCTCCCTCTGCTATGTTCTGCCGCTATACACCTCACTCTGCTATGTTCTGCCGGTATACACCTCCCTCTGCTATGTTCTGCCGCTATACACCTCCCTCTGCTATGTTCTGCCGCTATACACCTCCCTCTGCTATGTTCTGCCGCTATACACCTCCCTCTGCTAAGTTCTGCCGGTATACACCTCCCTCTGCTATGTTCTGCCGCTATACACCTCCCTCTGCTATGTTCTGCCGGTATACACCTCCCTCTGCTATGTTCTGCCGCTATACACCTCCCTCTGCTATGTTCTGCCGGTATACACCTCCCTCTGCTATGTTCTGCCGCTATACACCTCCCTCTGCTATGTTCTGCCGCTATACACCTCCCTCTGCTATGTTCTGCCGCTATACACCTCCCTCTGCTATGTTCTGCCGGTATACACCTCCCTCTGCTATGTTCTGCCGCTATACACCTCCCTCTGCTATGTTCTGCCGGTATACACCTCCCTCTGCTATGTTCTGCCGCTATACACCTCCCTCTGCTATGTTCTGCCGGTATACACCTCCCTCTGCTATGTTCTGCCGCTATACACCTCCCTCTGCTATGTTCTGCCGCTATAAACGTCCCTCTGCTATGTTCTGCCGGTATACACCTCCCTCTGCTATGTTCTGCCGCTATACACCTCCCTCTGCTATGTTCTGCCGCTATACACCTCCCTCTGCTATGTTCTGCCGCTATACACCTCCCTCTGCTATGTTCTGCCGGTATACACCTCCCTCTGCTATGTTCTGCCGCTATACACCTCCCTCTGCTATGTTCTGCCGGTATACACCTCCCTCTGCTATGTTCTGCCGCTATACACCTCCCTCTGCTATGTTCTGCCGGTATACACCTCCCTCTGCTATGTTCTGCCCCTATACACCTCCCTCTGCTATGTTCTGCCGGTATACACCTCCCTCTGCTATGTTCTGCCGCTATACACCTCCCTCTGCTATGTTCTGCCGGTATACACCTCCCTCTGCTATGTTCTGCCGGTATACACCTCCCTCTGCTATGTTCTGCCGCTATACACCTCCCTCTGCTATGTTCTGCCGCTATACACCTCCCTCTGCTATGTTCTGCCGCTATACACCTCCCTCTGCTATGTTCTGCCGCTATACACCTCCCTCTGCTATGTTTTGCCGGTATACACCTCCCTCTGCTATGTTCTGCCGCTATACACCTCCCTCTGCTATGTTCTGCCGCTATACACCTCCCTCTGCTATGTTCTGCCGGTATACACCTCCCTCTGCTATGTTCTGCCGCTATACACCTCCCTCTGCTATGTTCTGCCGGTATACACCTCCCTCTGCTATGTTCTGCCGCTATACACCTCCCTCTGCTATGTTCTGCCGCTATACACCTCCCTCTGCTATGTTCTGCCGCTATACACCTCCCTCTGCTATGTTCTGCCGCTATACACCTCCCTCTGCTATGTTCTGCCGCTATACACCTCCCTCTGCTATGTTCTGCCGCTATACACCTCCCTCTGCTATGTTCTGCCGCTATACACCTCCCTCTGCTATGTTCTGCCGGTATACACCTCCCTCTGCTATGTTCTGCCGCTATACACCTCCCTCTGCTATGTTCTGCCGCTATACACCTCCCTCTGCTATGTTCTGCCGCTATACACCTCCCTCTGCTATGTTCTGCCGCTATACACCTCCCTCTGCTATGTTCTGCCGCTATACACCTCACTCTGCTATGTTCTGCCGGTATACACCTCCCTCTGCTATGTTCTGCCGCTATACACCTCCCTCTGCTATGTTCTGCCGCTATACACCTCCCTCTGCTATGTTCTGCCGCTATACACCTCCCTCTGCTATGTTCTGCCGCTATACACCTCCCTCTGCTATGTTCTGCCGCTATACACCTCCCTCTGCTATGTTCTGCCGGTATACACCTCCCTCTGCTATGTTCTGCCGCTATACACCTCCCTCTGCTATGTTCTGCCGCTATACACCTCCCTCTGCTATGTTCTGCCGCTATACACCTCCCTCTGCTATGTTCTGCCGCTATACACCTCCCTCTGCTATGTTCTGCCGCTATACACCTCCCTCTGCTATGTTCTGCCGCTATACACCTCCCTCTGCTATGTTCTGCCGCTATACACCTCCCTCTGCAATGTTCTGCCGCTATACACCTCCCTCTGCTATGTTCTGCCGCTATACACCTCCCTCTGCTATGTTCTGCCGCTATACACCTCCCTCTGATATGTTCTGCCGCTATACACCTCCCTCTGCTATGTTCTGCCGGTATACACCTCCCTCTGCTATGTTCTGCCGCTATACACCTCCCTCTGCTATGTTCTGCCGCTATACACCTCCCTCTGCTATGTTCTGCCGCTATACACCTCCCTCTGCTATGTTCTGCCGCTATACACCTCCCTCTGCTATGTTCTGCCGCTATACACCTCCCTCTGCTATGTTCTGCCGCTATACACCTCCCTCTGCTATGTTCTGCTCCCTCTGCTATGTTCTGCCGCTATACACCTCCCTCTGCTATGTTCTGCCGGTATACACCTCCCTCTGCTATGTTCTGCAGGTATACACCTCCCTCTGCTATGTTCTGCCGCTATACACCTCCCTCTGCTATGTTCTGCAGGTATACACCTCCCTCTGCTATGTTCTGCCGCTATACACCTCCCTCTGCTATGTTCTGCCGCTATACACCTCCCTCTGCTATGTTCTGCCGCTATACACCTCCCTCTGCTATGTTCTGCCGCTATACACCTCCCTCTGCTATGTTCTGCAGGTATACACCTCCCTCTGCTATGTTCTGCAGGTATACACCTCCCTCTGCTATGTTCTGCAGGTATACACCTCCCTCTGCTATGTTCTGCCGCTATACACCTCCCTCTGCTATGTTCTGCAGGTATACACCTCCCTCTGCTATGTTCTGCCGCTATACACCTCCCTCTGCTATGTTCTGCCGCTATACACCTCCCTCTGCTATGTTCTGCCGGTATACACCTCCCTCTGCTATGTTCTGCCGGTATACACCTCCCTCTGCTATGTTCTGCCGGTATACACCTCCCTCTGCTATGTTCTGCCGCTATACACCTGTTCCCATGCAGTATCGGATGCCACCTCTGAACAACCCGGAACTTGCCTGCAAGTCCTCCCAGAACACCCCAATATCCTCGTCATCGTACACCTCCCTCTGCTCCCTTGACGACTGCCTTGTCAGGTACAGTGGGTACACAGCCACGTACCTGAAGGGCAGGGAATGGAATGGATGGAAGGAAGGAATAGAGGATGCTTTTGAATAGCCAGGGACAGTGGGTACACAGCCACGTACCTGAAGGGCAGGGAATGGAATGGATGGAAGGAAGGAATAGAGGATGCTTTTGAATAGCCAGGGACAGTGGGTACACAGCCACGTACCTGAAGGGCAGGGAATGGAATGGATGGAAGGAAGGAATAGAGGATGCTTTTGAATAGCCAGGGACAGTGGGTACACAGCCACATACCTATGGTGTTAAGAGGCCAGGCAGGGAATGGAATAGAACGGAGTGGCCTGGCCTGGAAGGTGTGCCGGTGCTTTTGAGGCGCCTCAAAAATGCTTTTGTGAGAACGTTGTGACTCAAGGAACATCATGCCCCATGCACTCACATCATGCCCCATGCACTCACATCATGCCCCATGCACTCACATCATGCCCCATGCACTCACATCATGCCCCATGCACTCACATCATGCCCCATGCACTCACATCATGCCCCATGCACTCACATCATGCCCCATGCACTCACATCATGCCCCATGCACTCACATCATGCCCCATGCACTCACATCATGCCCCATGCACTCACATCATGCCCCATGTACTCACATCATGCCCCATGCACTCACATCATGCCCAGGTAGAGCAGCAGCATTGGGGGGCGCAGGAGGGCGATCACAATGACATTGAACCCCGCGTTGCGAGTGCTCACAGACTGGAAATACCCTGCCAGTACCTTGGTCCCACCTGGCATGCGCACACACAAACACAAAGGGTAGAGGGGGAGAAGAGTGGAGAAACTGTTTTTGAGGTGCCTCAAAAAGCATTGGGTCCAGCCAGTACCTTCGTCCCACCTGCCATGCACTCACACACAGCCATGAGGTGGGGGGAGTGTAGGGTAACATTGTATGTTGTTTTTTTTGTTTTTGTTCTTTGTTTTATGTTTTTTTTTGGCAGACAAAGCCCCCACCAAAAGGAAGAAGTGCTCTCTTCCCAGACAAATCCTCAGGAAATATGTACGTAATCCTTGTTTGTTGGTCTTTTTCGCGTACCTGCAGTCCACATGCAACTCACTGGCGAAGCCGTCAAGAGCAGGCGAGGTCCATTATTTGTTGAGGTTGGTTGATTTTGAGAATTCTAAAAAGTGATTTCCGCATACAACTCACTGGCAAAGCCGTCAAGGGCAGGCGAGGTCCAGTCAGTGGCACAGAAGAAGACAAACTCCGTGAGATTGAACGCGCGCACTGTTAGCACGAGCATCACGGTGGAGCGCGGTGGGAAGAGGTGCGTGTAGCACTTGCGCGGGTGCACGAGAAGGTAGGAGTAGACGAACTGAGGGGCACGGGGTGAGGGGGGCGAAAATCACTTGTCAATATAAGAAGAACCCAGTTTAATGAGTCTGCTTTTGAAGCACCTCAAGAGAGGTGCATGTAGAACTTGCGTGGGCGCAAAAGAAGGTACGAGTAGACAAGCTGCCGGCCAGGGCAAAGGGTGAGAGAGGGTTGAAGACACTTCTCAATGTAAGAAACGCCGACTGCAATGAGTCTGCTTTTGAGTCACCTCAGAAGAGGTGCGAATGGCATTTGTGCGCCTGTAAGATGAGATGAGGTAGGTAGGTGTGGACAAACTGAAGGGGTATACGAAGTAGGTGTGGACAAACTGAAGGGGTATACGAAGTAGGTGTGGACAAACTGAAGGGGTATACGAAGTAGGTGTGGACAAACTGAAGGGGTATACGAAGTAGGTGTGGACAAACTGAAGGGGTATACGAAGTAGGTGTGGACAAACTGAAGGGGTATACGAAGTAGGTGTGGACAAACTGAAGGGGTATACGAAGTAGGTGTGGACAAACTGAAGGGGTATACGAAGTAGGTGTGGACAAACTGAAGGGGTATACGAAGTAGGTGTGGACAAACTGAAGGGGTATACGAAGTAGGTGTGGACAAACTGAAGGGGTATACGAAGTAGGTGTGGACAAACTGAAGGGGTATACGAAGTAGATGTGGACAAACTGAAGGGGTATACGAAGTAGGTGTGGACAAACTGAAGGGGTATACGAAGTAGGTGTGGACAAACTGAAGGGGTATACGAAGTAGGTGTGGACAAACTGAAGGGGTATACGAAGTAGGTGTGGACAAACTGAAGGGGTATACGAAGTAGGTGTGGACAAACTGAAGGGGTATACGAAGTAGGTGTGGACAAACTGAAGGGGTATACGAAGTAGGTGTGGACAAACTGAAGGGGTATACGAAGTAGGTGTGGACAAACTGAAGGGGTATACGAAGTAGGTGTGGGGGTAGCAGATAGATTTTTCAAAATAGGAACCCTGCGGTGTAAGAGTCTGTTTTCACATGACCTCAACAGGGGTGCACGCAGTGTGTGTGAAAATGCAGGAGAGCGTGAGTAGATGTTCTGAGGGATCACACTGCAGGATGGTACAGTAGAAGAAGAAAAAAGGAGGTTGTTTTTTAGAATTGATGTGCAACCTCAAAAACAACCTGCAGGATGGTACAGTAGAAGAAGAAAAAAGGATTGCCAAGTGTGCGTGCAGTGCAACACCGGGAGGGAGGGAGCCAGGAACAAGAAGAGAGGTGACCGGAGAGCGGTGGGGGACCTAGTGCGAAAACGGCAACCATGTGAAGGGAAAGACGGGTAAGGGTGCAGTCATTAGCCATCTACGAGATCTGTGTGGTGCGGTGCAGAAGTTCCCTCTTAGAGTGATCAAATTCAAGAAGGTGCAGTGCGGTGCAGGCCTTACCCTTTGCTCTCCTCGTGAGAAGCGACGGAGCAGAAGCAGAAGGGCTCGCAGCGTGGGTGGGTACATGGTATTGCCAATGAGAATGAACACTGACGTGACGATGATCAGAGCTGGCGCCCTCACGAACCCCATTAGGTTATCGTTCAGTAGTGCTGCCCCTGTGTTGGAAAACGTCGACATTGCCTGTGCGGGAAGGAGGAGGGAAGCATGGGGGCCGAGGGAGGGACAAGTGGGGGTAGATGGAGGGGGGATGACATGAAAGGTGAGTGAGTGACAGGGGAAACGGCTGCATGGGATGGAAGGTGACTAACTGACAAGAAGGGCAGCTGACTGACATGGAATGCACAGAAGTTGACACTGTTGACGTTGTTGGCCTGCAGAGTTGCCTTGGCGTCTGTTTTTGAGGTGCCTCAAAAACTGACTGACATGGAATGCGACTGACTGACATGGAATGCGACTGACTGACACGGAATGCAGCTGACTGGCAAGAAGGGCAGCTGACTGGCAAGAAGGGCAGCTGACTGACATGGAATGCACAGAAGAAGACGCTGTTGATGCTGTTGGCCTGCAGATTTGCCTTGGCGGAGGCAGAGAGGCTGACGATGAGCAGCAGCAGGAGGAAGGCGGTGAGCAGCAATGTGGCGAGGAATGCTGGCACCAGCCAGCTTAACGTCTCCAGGGCCCTGGATAGGGATAGGGACGGGGGGATGGGGATGGGGATGGGGATGGGGATGGGGATTGGGATGGGGATGGGGGGATGGGGATTGGGATGGGGATTGGGATGGGGATGGGGGGATGGGGATTGGGATGGGGATTGGGATGGGGATGGGGATTGGGATGGGGATTGGGATGGGGATGGGGATTGGGATGGGGATTGGGATGGGATAGGGATAGGGGGATGGGGATGGGGATGGGGATGGGGATGGGGATGGGGATGGGGATGGGGATGGGGATGGGGATGGGATAGGGATGGGGATGGGGATGGGGATGGGATAGGGTGGGGGTGGGGGGAAGGGGATGGGATGCGGATGGGGATGGGAATGGAGATGGGGATGGGGATGGAGATGGGGATGGGGATGTGCAAGTGTATGTGTATGTGCATGTGCAAGTGTATTTGCATGTGCAAGTGCAAGTACATGTGCATGCATGGGCAATGTGCAAGTGCAAGTACATGTGCATGCATGGGCAATGTGCAATTGCAAGTACATGTGCATGCATGGGCAATGTGCAAGTGCAAGTACATGTGCATGCATGGGCAATGTGCAAGTGCAAGTACATGTGCATGCATGGGCAATGTGCAAGTGCAAGTACATGTGCATGCATGGGCAATGTGCAAGTGCAAGTACATGTGCATGCATGGGCAATGTGCAAGTGCAAGTACATGTGCATGCATGGGCAATGTGTAAGTGCAAGTACATGTGCATGCATGGGCAATGTGCAAGTGCAAGTACATGTGCATGCATGGGCAATGTGCAAGTGCAAGTACATGTGCATGCATGGGCAATGTGCAAGTGCAAGTACATGTGCATGCATGGGCAATGTGCAAGTGCAAGTACATGTGCATGCATGGGCAATGTGCAAGTGCAAGTACATGTGCATGCATGGGCAATGTGCAAGTGCAAGTACATGTGCATGCATGGGCAATGTGCAAGTGCAAGTACATGTGCATGCATGGGCAATGTGCAAGTGCAAGTACATGTGCATGCATGGGCAATGTGCAAGTGCAAGTACATGTGCATGCATGGGCAATGTGCAAGTGCAAGTACATGTGCATGCATGGGCAATGTGCAAGTGCAAGTACATGTGCATGCATGGGCAATGTGCAAGTGCAAGTACATGTGCATGCATGGGCAATGTGCAAGTGCAAGTACATGTGCATGCATGGGCAATGTGCAAGTGCAAGTACATGTGCATGCATGGGCAATGTGCAAGTGCAAGTACATGTGCATGCATGGGCAATGTGCAAGTGCAAGTACATGTGCATGCATGGGCAATGTGCAAGTGCAAGTACATGTGCATGCATGGGCAATGTGCAAGTGCAAGTACATGTGCATGCATGGGCAATGTGCAAGTGCAAGTACATGTGCATGCATGGGCAATGTGCAAGTGCAAGTACATGTGCATGCATGGGCAATGTGCAAGTGCAAGTACATGTGCATGCATGGGCAATGTGCAAGTGCAAGTACATGTGCATGCATGGGCAATGTGCAAGTGCAAGTACATGTGCATGCATGGGCAATGTGCAAGTGCAAGTACATGTGCATGCATGGGCAATGTGCAAGTGCAAGTACATGTGCATGCATGGGCAATGTGCAAGTGCAAGTACATGTGCATGCATGGGCAATGTGCAAGTGCAAGTACATGTGCATGCATGGGCAATGTGCAAGTGCAAGTACATGTGCATGCATGGGCAATGTGCAAGTGCAAGTACATGTGCATGCATGGGCAATGTGCAAGTGCAAGTACATGTGCATGCATGGGCAATGTGCAAGTGCAAGTACATGTGCATGCATGGGCAATGTGCAAGTGCAAGTACATGTGCATGCATGGGCAATGTGCAAGTGCAAGTACATGTGCATGCATGGGCAATGTGCAAGTGCAAGTACATGTGCATGCATGGGCAATGTGCAAGTGCAAGTACATGTGCATGCATGGGCAATGTGCAAGTGCAAGTACATGTGCATGCATGGGCAATGTGCAAGTGCAGGTTCCACATCGAAAGGAGGGCATTGCAGAGCAGATGGCACAGAGAGACGGCACATAGCATGGAACGTGGCACATGGTACGTGGCACATGGCACGTGGCAGAGATGGCACATGGCACATTGCAAATTGCGCATGGCCTGTCGCACATGGCATGTCGCACATGGCACATGGCACATGCAGTGCACAAGAAAATCATTTCAAAAATGAGATTTTTCGAAAGAGGTCCATCAGAGAACAACAGCAGGGCAGAACAGTGGTGCGGGCAAGTGAGCTATGAAGAGGGCTCACCTGAGCCACAAGGAGGGGAGGGAGGGCTCACCTGAGCCACAAGGAGGGGAGGGAGGGCTCACTCACCTGAGCCACGAGGAGGGGAGGGAGGGCTCACTCACCTCTGAGCCACAAGGAGGGGAGGGAGGGCCCACCTGAGCTCGAGGAATCTGAGTTCACTTGGCTGTGCTGCCGTCAGCCATTCATCCACCATTGCATCCGCATAACCATCAGCAAACCCGTAACCATCAGCATCAGCGAAATCCAGATCCCCCCCAAGGCTTGTGCCGGTCACACTGCTTTCACGGCTCAACCTCCCGCTCCTCATCTGCCTTGCCCTGTGCTCCAGACCCCCCAGGAATGGCAAGAACGCGGGGGCGTGTGGTAGGGAGTGTGCTCTTAACGCGGACTGGTTGAGAGATGCAGCACGAGTAAGCCTTGAGGTGAACAGGTCAAGGGAGGAGCGCCTTGTAGCTGCCGCCTCCTGCTCCTCCTCCTGCTGCTGTTGCTGCTGCTGTGCTCTAAGCGCCTCAAGCGCCAATTGGAGGCGCTGCCCTTCAATCCTAGCCGTTTCCCCGGCCCAAGTCATCGAGCTCATCCCCACAGCCCCCTCTGCCTCCGCCCCTCTGCCTCCACCCCGCCGGCGCAACCCACCGCGTGTCACCCATCCCTCCTCCACATCCGTCCCCCGTCTGACGCCACGCCCTTCGCCCCCACCAGCACCTGGAGTCAAGGGTTGCCGCCCTTCTCTTGCCTCCTCCAGGAGTTTCTCCAGCACAGTTGTCAGGCCTAAGGGCCTTCGGCCTGTGGGAGCTGCTAATTCTTGAGGCGCCTCAAAAGTTGTCAGGCCTAAGGGCCTTCGGACCACACGCGCTGCTGCTGCTGCCGCTGCCGCATCTCCTTCGTCTGCTGATGCTGCTGTTGTTGCATCTGCTGCTGCTGTTGCTGCACTCGCTGCATTTGCTGCTGTAGCTGTTACTACCGCTGCTGCTGCACCAGAAGCTGCAGCCACAGGGGCCAAATGGGGCTCGCCTGCTGGAGCGACAGTGCCTGCAGTGGCAGCAGGTATCTCATGGGAGGGGGCGGGCGAGGAAGAGACAAGAGGGGGAATGCAGGCAGATGAGGTACTTTCTTCTCCTCTGCTTAAGCTAGCAGCAGCAGCAGCAGCAGCAGCAGCAGAAGGGTATGCAGTGGGGTCACTGGCGATAGGATATGCTGGGCCGGTTTCAACGTCAGCAAATCCATCTCCTCCCCCCTCCCCCCCAGCATGCACTCTACTCCCCTGCAGCTGCCCCAGCACTCTTAACCCGCCTCCTCCACTGCCTCCCTGCCTTCCCTTGCTGCTGCCACTGTCACTGCTGCCCCTGCTACCCCTGCTGCCCTTGCCGCTGCTGCAGACGCTCTTGGGACTCGCAGCAGCTGGAGCTGCAGGGGGCAGACCTACAGACCAGGCTCCGTTGTTCCCTGATATGTTTTCTCCTCCTCCATCTCCTCCTTCTCCTCCTCCTCCTCCTCCTTCCCCCCCTGCACCATGCTGCGCTGCCTGAGAGGCGGAGGCTGCAGTGTCAGAGGCTTTGGGGCCGTAGTTGGAGGCGGAGGGCAGGGTCTGGAGCAGGCCAGCGCAGGCGAGATGGCGGTGGAAGTAGTAACGGCGCACCAAGACCGGCACCAGGGACGTCACCACCTGGCACACACAGAGAGAGATGGGAGCCATTTTTCAAGTCAATTTTTAGAATCGTAAGAAATGACTCCAATGTGGCGCAGCAGGGCAGGCACCAGGGCTGTCAGCACCTGGCACAGAGAGAGAGAGAGAGAGAGAAGCAAGGGACTTAGTCTCTTCCCTCCTAGGCTCTTCCCCTCTCTTCCCCAGCTATATAGGGGCCCCTTGGCCTTCTCTCCAGCTCATTCTTCATTTGGTTTTTCTGATTTTTCCGGTTCTCTTCGTTCGAGAGAGCGAGAGAGAGAGAAGCAAGGGACTTAGTCTCTTCCCTCCTAGGCTCTTCCCCTCTCTTCCCCAGCTATATAAGGGCCCCTTGGCCTTCTCTCCAGCTCATTCTTCATTTGGTTTTTCTGATTTTTCCGGCGCTTCGCGCCGGCGCTCCGCGCCGGCGCTCGCGGGCGCGGCCTGCGGCCGCGCGCTTGGGACGACAAGGACAAAATTAAGGACGGCTAGATGACGGCAAAAACAACAACCATGGCAGACAACGACAACTAGACAAGCTACCATGGAACGGGTCTACACACGCGCGAGGGGGCCGCCTACATGCGGTCCGCCTCAAGCTCACCAAGCATTTCGCGCGTGGTCAGCCACATCTGGCGGACCACTGACGCGGTGGCGCCGACAACGTCAACAGGAGTTCCACGAGTTGCTACAAGGGTCCTCAGACCCAGGGCCGTCTCAGCCAGCAGGGTGGCCGAGACTACTCCCGGCGAGGGCGCGACCTGCAGTGGCGATACGAACGAGAATAATGCTGACGCCGCCGCGTGACACCTTGCTCGCGGCATCTGAGAGAACGTGCTCGGCGGGGTCTCCAACATGGAGCCATGCGACTCCTGGAGAATCAGTTCAAGACTCTGCAGGCACTCCGCCAACGACCACAAGTGCGCCAGGGTCGCCGTGGGCACTGGCTTCATCTGCGGGGGGAATGCAGACGCGCGAGACCGGCGAGCCGACACTGCCAGATCACGAGGAGCAGGGAGGGGACGTGGCGGAGCGAACTGGGCCCACGGGTCCCCGCCACCCGCGCCAACAAAGCCAGTCCCCGCAGGCAGCGGACGAACTGAGCGCGCTGGGGATCCCACAGGATTATGGGGCAGGAGCGCGGCGAGAGGAGCGACTGGAGCAACGGGAGGAGCAGATTGCGAGGACGACCCCGCATGGGAGCGGTGGAGAGCTTTCTCCACACCGTCCAACTTCTTCAGGACTTGCTCCATCGCGGATGGCGCTGGACGCGCAGCCCCGCCGCGACCGTAACCCCCCCGTCGCCCACGAGGCGCACGCCCACTCGTGCTCGAACGCACAGGCGACTGTGGGCGAGACAGGCCCCGCTGACGCTGGCGGTCAGGGGAACGCTCCGCGCGACGAGGAGAATGGAGCCGCTGGCGCTTCGCAAGAGGAGGAGAACGTGGCGCCAAGGACCGATATCCAGACGCATGACGAGCAGGCGATCGCGGACGGGAGGAGCGGGGAGCGGGAGAACGGTGGCGATACGAGCGGTGGTCACGGGAACGGCTCCGTGACACCTTGCGCCGAGGCAATCGAGGAGACCGCGGTGATCGCGGAGACCGCGGCGGGCGCGAGCCAGTGCGACGGTCGACGTGGCGGCTCTCCCGCCCACCGTCGCGGGCCACTGGCGAACGATGGCGAGGCGAATGCCCCCGGTGCGCCACAGCCTCTGCGCCGGAGCGCGCGACGGACCCCGCACGCGCAGGCTCCCCCAGAGGCAATGATCCGCCTCCGAGCAGACCCAAATCACGACGCTGATCCTCAAAGCGCCGACGGATCTCGTCCGCAGCCGCCGGCGGAGCAACATGCACGCTCGCGGCAGGACGCGCGGGAGGAAGTGGACGGGGAGCAGGATCAACCTCCACGGCGCGGTCACAGCCCAGAGCACCGAGGAAGTCCATCGGCCTCCGCTCTAGGCGCGCCACTGGCCCGGGACGAGCCGATGACCCCGATCTCCCAGGCGCAACAGGCCGCACCAGCGGCCGCCACTCCGAGGAGCGGGCGGGGAAGCACGCGGGGAAGAGGCGGGCGTCGAGGAGCACGCGGAGTACAGCGCAGCGCAGGCCACGCGGCAAGGGGGAACCCCCGCCAACCACCGAGCCCGATTTGGTTAGGGGAGCCGGCGGAACGAGTCACGCGCCAGTCGTTCGCCAGGCGCGGGGCGAGGGGAGGAAGGACAGCGCAAGCAGGGAGAAATGGTGATACAAATGCAGAAGGGAGTGGCGACGAATATGTACCGTCGGATCTGAGGCAACCCGACAATCCCGACTCACCCCGCGCGGAGGCAGGGGCGGAGCAGGCGCAGCTGCAGGAGAGAGGATTGGGCCGCCGACAGAACCGCAGACCCCAACCCCCCCCAGACCAGGCCCTCTCAGCATCCCAGCTGGCATCGATGGACGATCTCTTTGAGATCGCGATGAGCTGGGACTTGTCTACCCTAACATCGACCTCTCACCTGCCTATCGTCCGCCGCCTGCCGCCGCAGATCCTAAGCGACTATTCCACCTGTATGCTGGCAGCGCTCCTACGGATTTCCAAGCTGCCAAACTGCGCGGGAGCCTGGCGGGTCCTCATGTTTCTGCCACGTCTGACCCTACGACTTAGCAGGAGGTCCAGCTCTAGGTGGAAGGTGCTGCGAGAACAAATGCACCTATTCAGATGTGGCCACTGGAACCAGCTGTACAGTGACTACACGGGGTCCCTGCACCAAGCCGAACCACCTCAGCACCAAAATGACCCCCTGGGAATCTGCTCACGAGTGGAGGGGCTGGTGAAACGTGGTAACCTGCGAAAAGCACTGGCAGCCCTTCAACCCTCGCCAACAGCCCCTGCGACAACCGCGACACTACAGCAGTTGGAATCGAAACATCCCCAACCCCAAATTGACCTGCCCGACTGGGTCCACTCCTACACAACACCCACGCAATTTTCGTGCACCGCGGAAAACTTCTCCAACGTCCTTGGGGATTGCCCCAGCGGTGTTGGGGCTGGTCCATCAGGGTCAACATTTGAACATTATCGCAACCCAGCCCTAAGTAACATCGAAGTACTAGGGCACCTGCACACAGCCGTAACCCACCTCCTCTCGACAAACCTCTCCGCCGAGGTTGCAGCACTACTCTCGCCATCCCGCCTCATTGCATTCGCGAAACCAGGGGGGGGGGGTGCGCCCTATAGCGATAGGAGAATCCCTGCTCCGGCTGGCAGCAAAGGTAGCACTCTCAGAACTGCAAGGCGAGACAAGGCGATTTTTCTTACCCCAACAATTCGGCGTGGCAGTCCCAGGCGGGGCCGAGTTCGTTCTCCACGCAGTCAGAGACCTCACCACCTCACAACCATCAAGCCTAGTCCTCCAACTCGACATCGAAAACGCATTCAACTCCGTAGAGAGGATAGCGTTCTTTAACGCACTCACCAACACCCCGCTCGCCCCACTCATTCCCTTCACACGCTCCTTCTATGCGACGCCTTCACAGCTGCTGACCGACCCCCGCTCAAGCACAACGACACTCACCAGTGGTAGGGGAGTTAGGCAGGGGGACACCCTCGGACCCCTTCTATTCGCGGCTTCAATCCAGCAGCACCTCAGACGCGTAGCAACAGAGCACCCCGAAGTAACGGTCCTAGCATACGCAGATGACATCACCCTGATTGGACCGGCGACAGCAACGCTAGACGCACTAAAAGTACTGACACCGCTGCTAGCCCAGGACGGCCTCACCTGCAACCTCCGAAAATCGTCGGCATGGTCCTCCTCGCCGATCGAAGGTAACGAGCTCCCTGAGGGCCTTCCCCTCACCCACGAGGGGGTACGGGTGCTAGGAAGCCCTGTGGGGTCACAGCGCTTCTGCGCTGACCTCGTCCGCGGTACCTTGACCGACGCGGCGGCACCCCTGGGCTCCTTAGCATCCATCCATCCACAGCATACCCTCCTGCTCCTATCTCGCTGCATCAGCCGCAGAATAGGCTACCTGCTGCGCACCACTCCGGCAGACGCCCTACCTCTCTCAGAATGGCATGCGTGGTGCGCCGAACTGCTCAACACTGCCTTAACCGCCGCCAGCATCCAACCACCACGCCGTGACACAGAGTTCAACTTCCTACTGCGCCAAGCAACCCTCCCAGTAGCACTGGGTGGGCTAGGCCTCACGGACCCCACAACAGAAGCAGCACCAGCCTACCTGGCTTCGACAACAGAGGCGCTACGCCTGCTCCGCTCACTTGACCTCCCAGCAACCTCGGCGCTAGGGAGCAACAGCAACGCCCTACAGCCGTCGGCAGCACACTCGGTCACCATCCAAGACATGGAGGGACGACTGCCACCACTGGCACTGCAAATCCTCCGCGGGGAACAGGAATCCCCGTCCCAAGACCAGCTGCAGCGCGCCCTTTCCCAGGAAGTACATGCGGCAAAAGCCGACGGCCTGACAGAGGAATCACGCGCAATCAGGTCTGCCCCCGAGTTGGGGCACACACTCCGCCTCGTCAGCCTGAGAGGTGAGGGAGCGGGGGCATGGCTGCAGGCCCTACCCCTGACCCCAGACCTCTGCTTTTCACCAGGGCAATTCCGAACAGCCCTGGCCTTCCGCATGGGCATCCGACAGAACGTACCCACCGTGTGCGAATGTGGAGAGCTCGTAGCCGACTGCAGCCTCCCCAACCACCTACTCAGCTGCAGCACAGGCCCTGACAGAACACGCACACACAACCAGCTGGCTTTCGCCGTGGCTAAAATGGCGAGGGAGGCACAGCTGGTGGTATACCTGGAGAACGCGATGTACTCACCACCGGATGACCCGAAGAAGGCAGATGTGATTGTACGCGACCCAGACAGTGGTGAGACATGGATCACGGACACGACCATCACTGACCCCGTGCTACAGAACCGTGACCCAGCAGCCCGCAAACCCCTTGGATGGGCTGCAAGGGAGGCCCGGAAAAGGAAGGAACGAGACTACTACAGGCACACAGAACACGTGGTGTTCTGCGCCCTAGCTGTTGAGACCTATGGGGCAAACGCACCCCCCACAACGGCGTTCCTGAAGCTGCTGGCCACAGCAGCAGCTAGGAACCGCTTCAGGGCCAATCCCTTGGCGAAAACCGCCAAGAAAATGGCCTGCCACTTCAGCCAGCGCTGGTCAGTGGCCCTCCAGCGCTCTCAAGCGAATGCCCTGCACACCAAGGCCAGGGCAGGGATCGAGGCGGCGCACCCCCAGATGGCAGCAGACCCATGGCCGCTGCACCTGGGGGACATCCTCCACACACTGGAGGGGTAGAGGGTCACTGAGGGGGGGAGGAGGGTCAGAGGGATGGGCCAATGGGGCAGAGGGTCTAAAGGGAACCACAAATCAAACCGTATGCTTGTACCCCCGCTGAATTAATACAAAGGACCATTTGAGAGAGGGAGAGAGAGACTCCCTTAGCCCTCTGCCCTCTGCCTCATCCCTCTGCCCTCTGCTCTCCAGAGCCTTTTAAGGGCTGGGTTGGTCTTTTTCTCCTCATTATTTCGTGTGGTGTTCAATTTCGCCGGCTCGCGCCGGCGGCCTTCGGCCGCCGCCGCTCGCTTGCGCGGCCTCCGGCCGCGCGATCCTGGTGGCAAGGAACAAGGCGGAGGTCTACCAATACGGGGAAGAACACACACGCAAAGAAAGCAGGAGAACAGGACTAAAACAAGACATCACGGCATGCAGTTCTACACTAGGCGAAAGCCTACATCGTGTACGGCTCCGCCCCCTCCACCTCAAGCATCGAGCGCATGCACGCCGTCATTGCAAGGAGGAGATGCGCCGACGACTGAAGTGTGTCCACAGGAGTCCCGACCTGAGCGGCCCCTACAAGATCCCCCACGTGGCGGGGGAAGGTACGCGCTAAGGGCGCTACCCCGGCGGGCGCTTCCGACACGGGTGCCAACGGCGACTCGAGCGATTCTGCCAAAGACACGCAGGACCCTCGGGATCCTGGACCGTAACTGCTCGGAAAGCTCCGCGTGGCCCCACACACCGCCAGCTGCAAGTTCGCCACCACCTCACACGCCTCCGCCAGATTCAGAATCCGGCACATGGTCAGCATGGGGTCTCTCCCCGCGTGAGTGGGGGGAGGTGCAGTCGGAGCTTCGCGCGGAAACGCCGTCGACCAGCCAGGAGTCCGGCCACCAGTCACGCGCTGTGCGGAGAAGCCCGGGACCTGGCGAGGGGTGCGAAACCGAGCCCCCCCCTCCCGCGCGGGCAGATACCCGCGCAGCGTCGGCGCGCGCTGAGGAGCCACCGGGCCTGGGTCCGCGGCGAAGGGAGGTCCGTTGGTCACCTCAATGTGCACGTGCGTCGGCTCCCCACTCGCCCGCGCCTGCCGCACCACTTCCGCAAATGCATTCGCGGCCCGATCGAGGGCGGGATCCTGCCCGCTACAATTGCCGCCACGCCCACCGCCATTCCGCCGGCCCCGCCGACCTCCGGAACCAGCAGAGTGCGGTCGCGGAGGGGACTGCTCGCGTCGGCCCGAATCCCAACGACGCCCAGGTGACCCCCTCCCCCGCGTCGCCGGAGATTGCCGCGGAGACCGTTGCGCGGGGGATCGCGCTCGGGGTGAGCGCTGGCCTACCCGACCACGAGGAGATGGGCGGCGAGGAGAACGGGGATGCGCCGGGGACCGCTGAGCGCCCTCCCTGCGCTGTGGGGCTTCGCGACGCTCAGGAGATGGGCGGCGAGGAGAGGGCTGCCGAGGAGGCTGACGCGGAGGCGAGCGCCCACGCTCCTGCCGCGGCTGACCGTCAGGGCGGCTTGACGCAACACGTGCAGGGGCCCACGAATACTCCGGCGAGGTGGGGCGCGCGGCAGGCCGATGAGGAAGAGTTAGCATCCGCTCAAAGCGGCGGACGGGCTCGCTTGCGGAGGGATGCGCAGGGACACGCGGTCGTAACCCGGCAGGCTCAGGGTCCGGCAGCGCGCTCTCCGCAGAACCCTCGAGCTCCGGATCCCGTCGCGCGGATGGGTCCATCACCCCCGACAGCACCGCAGCCGACGCCAGCACGCCGACCTATTGGGGACGAGGCGGATAGGGCGCCCCTGGCAGGGCGCGCGGGAGCGGCGGGAGGAAGAGGAACGCGGGGAATCCGCGTGGGACGCGGCAGCATCCGCCGCGGACGACGCGGGAACGGGAGAGGACGCCGAGGTGGAGGAGCGCGCGGCACAAATCGGCGCCGTACCGGCGCAAGCGGATACGCGAGAACTGCAGAAAGGCTAATGCGTGAAGGCGCGGAAGGCGGCGAGGAGGTGCTCAGCGAGGAAGCAGAGGACGAAGTCGAGATTGAGGAAAGCGATGGGGGTGACCCCGCTTTTAACCCAGAAAGAGAGGGGATGTTCGAAGCAGAGGCCGAGGAGGACGAGGCAGAGTTGGAGCTGCTGCTTCAAGAAATGGAATCCCCAAACCAGCAGGCCCGAGGCGATCCCGCGACCCGAACCACACATCGAAACCGAACCGCGGGGGGAAATCGTGCAAGGGGGGGAAGTCAAGCCGCGACAGAAGACGGAATTGACTCTGCAGCGGCCAATGAAAATTCAGAAGCCCCTAATCCAACCCCCCTGATGCTCAAACCTGACGACCTGGCGAAAAACACAGACCTGTTCGCCCAGGTTACAGACTGGGACCTTGACCCGCTACGCGACAGTCGCCAACCTCCTCTTGCCCGCCACCCCCCCAAAGACCTTCGCGAATCCTTCGCGATCTGCATGTTGACACCGTTACTCCACCTGGCGGCCAATCCCGAGTCCCCACCTGGGTGGAAGTTACTGACCTTCCTCCCGCGCCTACTTCTTCGCACCTCGTCAGCCCGTAAGCCTGACTGGAGCGCGATGATGAAGCGGCTCCTGCTTTTTCGCCAAGGGTCCTGGGCCGTCCTATACGAAGAAGCTGTCCAGGCGATTTCCCTGCCACCGCAACCTCGCCACGCACCTGACACAACGGGAATCCTGGCAAGAGCGGAAGGACTGGCAAAACGGGGTAACCTGTCAAAATCACTTCAATCCCTCCAGGCCACTCCCGTGTCGCCTGCCTCACCTGAAGTGTTGGAAGCCCTCACGGCGAGACACCCACCTGCACGCCAATCACTCCCCGATTGGCTTCACACTGCCACGGCGGAAGACCCACCCACTGTCGAAGCCCGCGACTTCAGGCGTCTCCTCGCCAAGCTCCCCAATGGAGTCGGGGCCGGGCCTTCAGGAACCACCTTCGAGCACATCCGAGACGCGGCCCTTGGGAATGCCGAAGTACTCACCCATCTCCTCGCCCTCACAAACACGGCTCTAGCAGGAAAACTCCCCGCTGTCGCAGGGGAACTCTTAACGGCCTCCCGCCTGTTAGCCTTTACGAACCCTCAAGGTGGGACGAGGCCAATCGCGGTGGGTGAATGTCTCCTCCGGATCATTACCAAGGCCGCCCTATTTCTGACCGCGCCGGCTGCTCGTACTCACTTTGCTCCCCTTCAGTTCGGAGTAGCAGTAGCAGGGGGGATCGAAGCGGCTATTCACACCGCTCGCACGTACCTGGAAGTGCACCCAGGGGCAGTGGCGCTGCAGATTGACCTCGCGAACGCGTTCAATGCGGTCGAAAGGAGAGCGGTGTTCGAGGGGCTAAGAAACGAGGCGCTGAAGGCGCTGATTCCCCTCGTCCGCCTATCCTATGGGGCTGCCTCCTCTCTCTTCCTCGACCACGACTTCGGCGCCGCCCCGCTGCAAAGCGCCAGAGGAGTCCGCCAGGGGGACCCGCTCGGCCCCCTCCTGTTCGCGGCAAGCATCCATCCGTGCCTCGTTGACACGGCGGCAGCACACCCTCAGGTGGTCCTGCTGGCGTACGCCGATGACATCACGCTGCTCGGCGACGCCACGGCCTGCACAGCGGCATTTGTCCACCTCACATCGGCACTAGCCGCCCTCGGCCTGGTTCACAATACGGGAAAATGCGCGGCGTGGTCTGCCGCAGCAATCGACCCTTCTTCAGTTCCCCCAGGCATTAGTATCGCCGAAGAAGGGTTGCAGATCCTCGGCAGCCCAGTGGGCACACCCCGGGGCTGCGCAGGCGCTGTGAGAGAGAGATTGGCAGCAGCGGCAGCCCCACTCCCCCTGCTGGCCCTGATGGACCCCCAGCTTAGTCTCCTCCTCCTCACCCGCTGTGTCAGCCGCCGAGCATCTTTCCTGGCCAGAACCACCCCCCTGGAAGCCCTCCCGGAAGCGGAATGGTCTGCTTGGGGGGAACAGCTCCTCCACACCTTCTTGGTTTCGGCCCACATCTTGAGCCCGAGGAGTGCCAGGGAGAGACGGAGGATCTGGCGGCAGGCAGCACTGCCAGTGACTCTGGGAGGCCTAGGCATCACTGACCCCGCTGTTGAAAGCAGCTACGCCTACCTCGCTTCAGTGATCAGCGCCGCCCACCTCCTACACTCCCTGGAGAACTCACTGCATCCCGCTATCGCCGCGCTCCTCCCCCTACTGGACCCGACCCACGGCTCTCCGCACGCGCTGCCTGCACGCCTCGCTGCGGCCGAGGCAGCTCTCCCCCCAGAGGCTCTCGAGGTGCTCCAGGCCGGGAAGGCAGACCCCAAGGGACTGAAGCTGCAGCAAAGCCTAGCGCTGGCGGTTCACTCCCACCGCTTCCTGAGAGTCATGCGCGAGGCAAGGCGGATGCGCCCCAACCCCCGTTCTGGCCACGCGCAAAGGATGCAGTCAGTGCTAGGCCCAGGCGCGGGGGACTGGCTGCTGGCGATCCCGCTCATCCCCTCGCTACGGATGGGCCCATCCCAGCTCTCTACTGCAGCTGCCTTCCGCCTAGGCCTTCCCCTCCCCGTGCCTAGACGCTGTGACTGCCGCTACCGCACCACCTTCCCTGACGATCGCCTCCCCAACCACCTCATGCGCTGCGAGAAGGGGAAAGGGAGGACCGCAACCCATCACGCCCTGCGGGATGAGATTGCGAACATAGGGGCTGAGGCGGGGTTTACGGTTCACAAGGAGACGTATGTCTACTCTCAGGTTGAAAACCTAAAGGCGGATGTCACCATCCGTCATCCCCTGACTGGAGAGGTTTGGATGTGCGACGTGACCGTGACGGACCCGGTGTCCTACCAGGACGAGAACTGCAACCGAGCTCCAAGATGGGCGGCTAGGGCGGCAGCAGCGAAAAAGGAGGAGAAGTACGCCCGTCGGAACGCGTGGGTGGGATTCCACGCGCTTGCAGTAGAAACCTACGGCTACCCCTCGCCAGGGGTGATGGCTTACCTGCGGCAATGCGCGGAGCTGGCGGCGAAGCTGCGTTTTAACGCAGCACCTACCTCCTACGAAGCAGCGAAGCTGCTGACGGAGTACCGCCAGCGCTGGAGCGTGTGCCTCCAGCGGGCGCAGGCCAACGCCCTCCGCACCAAGACCAATGAGGCCTTGGCGACGGACGAGCTCGGCTTTCGGGGCCCCATCATCCCTCTCAGTGAGGGACAGCTGCACCAGTTGATTGAGGCCCCTCTCGACCAGTAAGGTCGGACAAGGGGGGGGCGGAGTAGGTGGGGGACTTGAGGGAGATAGAATACCGGTTTATGTGTTTGTTTATGCTTTGTGTTTTGCATCTTCCTTTGTACCACCCCATATGGAATACAAGGACCATTCGAGAGAGAGAGAGAGAGACGGGAGTAATTTTTTTAGTCCGATATTAAAATCGTAAAAGATGAGTCCAATATGGCCCAGCAGGGCAGGCACCAGGGATGTCAGCACCTGGCACAGGGACCAAGGCTGTGGCTGATGCAGAGCAGATGGCAAGAGCAGAGCGGACGGCAAGAGCAGAGCAGATGGAAGGCAGGGCAGACCGACCAGCATAAAATCCGAGGTTGCAGGAAAATTCATTCAAGACTGCACAGCATCACGCACGGGAGAAATGACCAAGCAACAATTCTTTTTTTCATATCAAACGAAATTAAAACAAACACACACACACACACACACACACACACACACACACACACACACACACACACACACACCACACACACAGACACTGTGGAGTTGCAAGCGCATGCGGGTTATGCTTGCTCCACTGTTCCACTGTCATGGCGAGGAAGCTGCAATTCTGGTACTTTCCAGATTCAATATTTCTGCTTCTGAGTCGACTAAAAGCAAATTCTGGTACTTTCCAGATTCAATATTTCTGCTTTTGAGTCGACTCAAAGCAAATTCTGGTACTTTCCAGATTCAATCTTTTTGCTTTTGAGTCGACTCCAAAGCAGTTTCTGGTACTTTCCAGATTCATTATTTTCCCAAATACACGATTTCCTAGACCTGGAGATTCACAAATCTGGAATTATCCAGATCTGTAATTTCCAAGATCTGAACAAACCCATATCTGGAATTGTGCACGGTGGGGGCAGGTACTCCTTCCTCTGCCGTTCAGCTGCCACATCGGGCAGGCTGGGCTCCAAATGGTTCACTGCAGTGACATGGCATGGCCATGGCATGGCATGGCATGGCGTGGCGTGGCATGGCATGGCATGGCATGGCATGGCATAGCATGGCATGGCGTGGCATAGCGTGGCATGGCATGGCGTGGCATGGCGTGGGGCCTGATTAAGAGGATGAACCAATGAGGGTTGCATTCAGCATGTGATTACCAGTATGTTATTTCTAATCACGCACCTGGGAACCCATGAACATGAGGAGGAGGCGAGCGACGTTGGTGCCGTCAGTGAAGACCCCCACGTCGACGGTGATAAGCCCCGCCAGGCACACACACGACGTCACATTGAAGAGAGCGTCTATGAAGCTGATTTTCCCTGCTGGCCCGCTCGGCGCCACGCAGAAGACGAGCGTGAAAGCGAGGATGACTATAACGAAGCACAGCATGTGCAGCCGGTAGAAGGTCACGCGCCGCTTGAGCCACGCAGGAAGAGCCACGCCGCGCATCAGCGGCGGTGGTGCGACGGCGCGCCAGGCTGAGCTTGCCATGGAAACAGCAGCTCCAGCAGCAGCAGCAGCAACTACCACTAGTTGTAGCACTAGGAGCCTCAAAAACAGGAGCACGGGTACTGCTGGTAGTAGTACCGCGCGTCACAACGAACAGCAGCGAGATAATCAATAACTTGCTGAAACGACACGGAGACGTGAATGGTGGAGGCTCTGCCGTCCAGAGCAAACGTGCTCGCTCATTGATCCTCCCGGGTGTGTCATGCGAGGAGAGGAGACGTTTGAGTCGACTCAAAAGTCGCCTCATAAAAGAAGTACAAGCGTAGCGGCTGTGGGCAGGTCGTACGTTTACAGCTCATCATTCGTGGCTGAGCTTCACGGTTTTGCACTGTGACGCAACGAATTAGACCGCAAAGAACGTACACGAGACGTACGAATTACACCCCGTCATTGAGCCTCAGATTGGTGAGTTCTGGCGGGTGGAGAGGAGAGGAGGGAGAGAGCGCGGCGACTCCGAGACAGCGGAGACAGTGAGCAGAACGATACTGGAGAGGAGAGATATGCTCTCGCGACAATCGATGGTTTGCAGGGACGCGGGCCGCGGCCGCGTGAACGACTTGTTTCGGCAAGGTCACGAACAAAAAAATCGCAACCTGTCTTGTGAGCGTGACTTGTGTGATGAGGCAATTTTCGATGTGCCTGAAAAGGCGACGACATTTCGGCCATGTCCCGTGGTGTGATGTGGGTAGGAAACTTGGGGGGTTCATAAGGGCGATCACGCCTCAAGTTCAATCGCCCGACCATCCCAAGAACACTGCGAAGCTGTTCGGGCGCACTCCCCTCTTGGCTGACGATTACCATAGTGTGGTATCTCTCCTACTACAATCACACGGTTCGGGACACCATTCTCGCCGTACATTAATCTAGTCGCGTCTACAGAGTGTTACTTAGGCGAATATGTTGTACAGCGAATAATTTCGACGTGATTCCGCCCGCAAACGGGTAATTATGGAGCCAAATCCGCATGCTAATGGCAGGAAGTCCCTATGCCTCACTGAGGGAGGGCCTTGCAACGAAGCTCGTGCATGCCGTGCTGGATTGGTTTGAGCAGCGGTTGCATCGCTGAAGGTGTGTTCCCAATGGTGGCTCACGTCCTGCACATAGCATGTCTTGACTCTAGGAACAGAGTGGATGGCTCTCATTGGACATTTCGGATAAATTATAAACGGGAAAAGTGTAAACTATAAATCTTATCGAGAACACTTTAATATAGCCAGATTACCTTATCAAACTACTGTGTAGACCCACACAAATCGACTTCTCAAAATGAGTGCTCCAAAGCTGTCGCAACTTCAAAATGTGCAATAATTGTAGGAAATGACACCCCCTGATGCACGTGACTCAGATAGGGTCCCTTACAAATGGAACTTCTGTTGACAAGGATTTACAGTACCTCCAACAAGACATCCGTCTTCAATTCGACGCTACACGAGCGATGAAAGTATGCACAGTTGTTACCATCCGAGGTTGCGGTACGACATACGGTAATGTAGACGCACAGCAAAGCTAGAACCTGTACAAAAAAATAAATATTACAGGCTATTTATATATATTGAACGCCTGTGGTGGTTCAGCTGCACGTCCCTGTAGTGTTGAGACAGAGGGGGTATCGGCTACAGGGACGGCAGAGGATATCACTGCAGTCGACATGTACACAGGAGGCTGAGGGGGGGATCGTTTCCTTATAGCCACAGCAGCATGGGAAAGCAAGAAGTCTTGGGCCCACAACAGGGGAGTCCAGTCAGTGTTGTGCATGAACTGGGTGCAATATGCCCCCCCCAGCGGATGGGGGTGGTGCTGCTGCTGCTGGTGCTGCTTGTGGTGGTGATTACATGTACACGGGAGGTAAGGGAGGCGAGGATTTTCTCACAGCCACAGCAGCGTGGGAAAGCGAGAAGTCTCTAGCCCATGACACGGGGGTCCAGTCAGTGTCGTGGATAAACTGGGTGCACGAACGGATAGCTCTCGTGTTGAGCGCCCTGTAGTGGTTCAGATGCACGTCCCTCACATGCATGTCCACCCCGGGCATGCGTGCAGGAGGGGGAGGAGCAGCAGGGGTGGGATTGCTGGCAGGGATGGTAGAATCGGTGGTGTTGTTGGTGGTGGCGGTGGCGCTGGTGGAATTGTTGATGGGACTGGTGGTGGTGTTGACAGTGGTGGTGGCGGTGGTGCTGCTGCTGGTGGTTGTATTGGCCAGCAACAGGACAGGTGGGGCTGGAAGAGGCCACGTTTTTGCGACCGCATGAATCTGGAAGCCAGGGTGGAGATGTGGAGGGGGAGACGAAGCAAGGAGAGAGGTTTGAGATGGCGTTGAATGCATGCGGTAATATGCGTGACGATCCCCCTCATAGGGCCAGCAATGAACTTCCAATACCCATCAAACGCCGGCAGAAGATTTTTGAGTCGACTCAAAAATACCCATCAAACGCCGGCAGAAGATTTTTGAGTCGACTCAAAAATACCCATCAAACGCCGGCAGAAGATTTTTGAGTCGACTCAAAAATACCCATCAAACGCCGGCAGAAGATTTTTGAGTCGACTCAAAAATACCCATCAAACGCCGGCAGAAGCCCATGTAGCACCCTCTTGAGCCGCCCCGAACAGCAAACCTGTTGACCCAACACCCCGAACAGCTTGACTCTTCTCGGGTCAGCGACGCATCTCCGATGCCCATCAAACCCCAGGCACAGGTGGTGAGACACACAGGTAGCACCCCTAACACCACCCATTTCCACTCACCCTGAACAGCTTGACTCATCGAACCCGAAGCACAGGTTTCCAGACTAGTAGCGCTTGGGCGCCACACAGCGCACATTGGTTTGGCAGAAGGTCATACTCTCCACCTCCCACGTGGCCCCCACCTGCCTCCATCCCAGATAGACACACCAAAACATACCTAGAAGGACCCTTTTGAATCACTCACCCCAAACAGCTTGACCTTTCTTGGATCAGCGATGTATTTCCGGTGCCCATCAAAACCCAGGCACATATCTCGCGACTCGTAGCGCTTGGGAGCCACACAGTGCACGTCGGCCTGGCGGAATTTCATCCTCTCCACCTCCCAGCGAGGGGGTTGCCCACACAGTGCATGTCGGCCCTTTTCAAACACATTCCAAACAGACAGACAGACATTCCAAACACTGCCCTTGTCCACTCACCCCGAACAGCTTGACCTTTCTTGGATCCGCAACGTACTTCCTGTGCCCATCGAAGCCCAGGCACATGTCTCTTGACTCGTAGCGCTTGGGTGCCACACAGTGCACGTCGGCCTGGCGGAATATCATCCTCTCGACCTCCCAGCGGGGGGGCGACGAGGCAGAGACGTTCATTGAGTGCGAGCACTTGTCGGTGTAGAAATAGAGACTGCCGAATGACACATAGGCTGCTTCCTGCACAGTGGAGGGCGGAGAGAGAGAGAGAGAGAGAGAGAGAAGCAAGTGACTTAGTCTCTTCCCTCCTAGGCTCTTCCCCTCTCTTCCCCAACTATATAAGGGCCCCTTGGCCTTCTCTCCAGCTCATTCTTCATTTGGTGTCTCTGATTTTTCCGGCTTTGTTGAGTCGACGTGCGGCGCATCATCAAACCGCGGCAAGCTACAGCAAGCCTCGGAGGATCGAGCTTATGATACCCAATCTCCAGATAGCTAGTAGGACCTCCAGTCATATATTTAGGTCATGGGCTGCGGCAGTCCAACGAGAGATACTGCCCGTGAACTCTCGTAATCCTGCTAGTTGGCTCCGAGCAAGTGACCGTCCCTTTGTTCACGCCGATTTGGTACGTCAGTTTGGTGGTTGTGATGGGCGTGAGATGGGGAGCGCGCGGAGGGGCGGAGATGGGTGGCGGCAGGAAAACCGGCGCAGCGGGCGCAAACGCGACGCGACAGCGCCGTCGCCGCTGTGTGTTTAAATCACCGGAAATGCACGAGGCTGGGCAGAAAGAAGCGGCGAAGGTGTTCCTTCCGCTCGGCACTTCGCTGGACGTCTCCCAGCTGGATCTGTGCGAGGGCCTTCAAGTTATCTCCCTCAAAAGGTACCACCGCCGCCATCTCCCTCATCCGTGGGGAGCAGCCTCGTCGTTACGCCTTTCAGTGTTTTTAGGAGCCGCCTTTCATAGTAGTGATGCTTTCATGCCCTCCCACCAGCCTCCTTGCTCCACCTTCCAACTCGCCTTCCACATCGTCCCATAGGTCCACCCATCTCAACTCCTCCATCCCACTTCTGCCCTCTGATATTCCTCCCTCCGTACTCTAACCTTCCCTACCTCTCCTCCCTTTATCACCTCGCCTCCCTCCACCTTCCCTCCTTCTCCCACCTGCCCCCTTGTCCCCCCATCCCCCCCCTTTCCACCCTTCCATCCCATCCGCACTTGATCAGAACCTGCTACCTGTAGAAAGTAGTTTTTTGAGACGTCTCAAAAATCTACTTTCTACACGTAGCGTCTCAAAAATATACTTTCTACACGTGGCGTCTCAAAAATATACTTTCTACACGTGGCGTCTCAAAAATCTACTTTCTACACGTGCCATCTCATCCGCACTTGATCAGAACCTGCTACCTCTCCTTCTCCACCTCTAATCTCCACTTCCCCCGTCTTTGTGAATCGTTTTGTCTCTCCTAACCCCCCCCCCCCCCCCCCCCCCCCACCTTTCAGAATCTTCTCGCCTCGTCGTCCCTCTCGTCGGATACGCGCGTCCCTCTACCACAGCCGCGTGCTCCTGAAGCTTCTTCTCTGGGTAGCTTGCACAGGCATTCTCAGCGTCTACCAAGCCCGCACAGTCTCAGCCCACGGCCTCAAAGGTACCTGCCGTTGCTAAAAAAGCTGGTCCGGGCTGAAGCATGGGTGTTGTTGTGCTTCCTGGCTCGCTTGCATCAGAGCAACCGCACTTACTACTGATATTCATCCCTTCCCCTTCCCCTCTCCCCACCACTTTCTCCAGATTGCGCTGACATTTTCGCAGCAGGAACGGCTCTCCCATTGCCTCTTGCCACAGAAACCGATTACGATGAAGCAAGCAGAGAAAAAGGGACGCCCTCGCGAGGGTACAAGCGAGAAGACGGCGTCTGCTGGAGCAGAGCCGAGATGGCATGCTACGCAGCGATAGGCAGCGCCGGTTATCCCACAAGAGACGCCGCTGAAGAGCGCGCGCAGCTGCATGTGTCTGGTGCCCTTGAGACGAAACTGCGGCAATACCACCGGTACCGGCGAGAGTGCCTGCGAGTGGAGCCAATGGAACAGCTGCGAGCCACACTGTTAGCCGGCAATGCCACTGCCTGCCGCTACTTGCTCTACCACCAAACTACAGACGGGCAGGGTAACCGACTTTTGTCGCTCATCTCCTCGTTTGCGTACGCATTGCTGACGGATCGGATTCTCCTGCTGGTGTCCCGCAGTGGGCCCGCTACAGAGTTCTGTGAGCCATTCGAGCATGAGGCATCGTGGGTCTTGTTCGATGGGCCGGAGGAAGAAGGGGAGAGGAATGCGAGGCTGCTTCACAACCATGTGGCCCAGGAGTGGAGGAGCGCGAGGGAGGGAGAGGAGGCACGGGCGTCGGGTGACAAGCTGCCACCACCAATGTGCGTTCTGTGCTATGCTGTGCTATGCCGTGCCGTGCCGTGATAATCACTTGTTCTTGTTCCAGCGTTTCTTGTCAGTCATACTGTGTCTGCCTTCTCACATGCCTTGTACGCGCAGCTTTACCCATGCTGAACGGATGGATTGTTCTCATAGCCTTTACAAAGCGTATCAAAGCTCTCATCGTTCCACTTTGTCAATCCTTGTGTTCCCCTCATCCTCTCCCTCATTCTGATTCTTTCCCTTCCCATCCCCCTCTTTCCCTCAGGCTATGCCTCGACATCAACCAAGCAACCACCCTCTCTGGCTTCTTGTTCTTTTGCGAGGCAGAGCAGCAGTGGCTCTCCCACACACCAACAGTACTCGTCACATCCAACCAATACTTCCTCCCGGCCCTCTACGTCACATCTCCCCCATTCCCTCAGGCTACGCCTTGCCATTAACCTAGCAACCATCCTGTCTGGCTTCTTGTTCTTCTGCGTCGACTCGAAAGTCACCCTCCTCCCCCCCATTCTGTTTTTTCCCCTTTTCATTCTCACCCTTTCCCTCAGGCTACGCCTGGACATCAACCAAGCAACCACCCCGTCTGGCTTCTTGTTTTTCTGCGAGGCAGAGCAGCAATGGCTCTCCCACACGCCCACGCTGCTCCTCACCTCCAACCAATACTTCCTCCCCGCGCTCTACCTCCTCCCCTCCTTCCGCCGCCTCCTCCTCCTCCTCTTCCCTGCCCACATGCCCTTCCGCTCCCTCTCCCGCCTGCTGCTCTTCCCCCGCAACCGCATCTGGGCGGGCATCACACACCGCTACCACACCCTCCTTGCCCCAGCGCCGGCTCGAGTCGGCCTGCAGGGGCGCTTTTCAACGCATGCAAAGGAGAGCACAGTAGCGTTCTACACTACGGCTATGGGGCGTTGCATGGTGCAAGCTCTCAACTCCTCGACCGTGCAGAGAGCAAGGGGGTTGCGGCTATCCAGGGAGGCGGCCTTGAAGGCAAGTCAGGAACCTTCGGAGGTGCAGAGGGGGCAGGAGATGCGAGAGGGAGAGGGAGGAGGCTCAGCAGGGCGGGGCACTAGTGGGAGTACTGGGCAAGGGGTGGGAGGTATGGCTGAGAATGGTGCGTTACGCGGTGGTGGGTTGGATCCAATGACTAGAACAGTGAGTGGTGGTGACAGGAGCAGTGGAGGTGGCAGTGGCAGTGGTGACTGCAGCGTGGGGGGTTCATGGGGCAACGTGACAGAGGTAATGGTTGCGTCTCTCAACCAATTCCTAGTGCATAACCTCTCACAGGCTGTGACGGCCGATGTGCCTGTAGCGAGAGTGACAGTGGGAAGTGACACTGCTTGTGCTCCCATGGAGGATGCTCCTACAGAGGAAGAGCCACCACCCAGTGGTACCGCCTCCACTGCTGATCCTGGTGTTGCAGGTGCAGGTACTGTAACTCCCAATGTAAGCACGGACACTAGAAGCAGCAGCACTGATAGTGGCACTGGCAGCAGCAGCAGCAGCAGCAGCAGCAACAGGAGCGGCAGCGGCGTTGGCAGCAGCAGGAGCAAGCGCAACAATGGCACTTCTGGGTATGGCGTGCACATCGTGCACTTGACTGCCGATGACAAGGAGAACACCACCAATACGGCATCGGTAGACCGAGCCATCATCGACATCTACACTCTCGCTCTCTTTTCCGATGCACTTATAATCTCCAAGACTTCTACTTTTGGTTACCTCTGTGCGTCCCTCTTTGGAGTGCCCCATGTTACATTTGTGGGGCACACTTGCATTCCCGCTGTTTCCGAGCCTTGCATGCACTGGCCCCCCACCAATGATCGATGCCCGGATGGCAATCCACAGAAGCTGCAGCTGCTCCTGGCTGAGAAGCCAGATGTGCCCCTCATGCCCTGTATGGACAGACCCAATTCACTTGGGATCAAGCCCTTGGAGAGTGCACAGGAAGACTACTACAACCGGCAGTGAGGTCTAAGTCTAAGGGCCCTTGGCCAGGCATGTTCCTTTCACGGGTAATTAATTCCGATTTTCTGAAGAATCAAAGTCGATATTTCAAGTTAGCCTTTCATTTCAGGGTTAGTGGCCAATGCAACCTATTTTCGGTGTATCGTAACAATTTACCTGCTTATTGTGAAAGCTTGCGATTTGCCTTGCAAATGCAACGTCTCATTTCAACTGGCAAGTACAAGATTTTATCGTCCAAGCATTATACAACAGAATAGCATTGTGCATCTTATGCTAGGGTGGGAGGGCGGGAAACTTGAACTTGAAAGTTCGAAATGAAAAACGTGGGTGAAGGCCAAATGGCCTTCGCCCCCTCTTTTGTACCAAAAAGAGGGGAAGTAGCGGTTCGCCGAAGCCTTTGCTTCAGTACAATTCGCTTCGCTGTTCACAATACACAATTTTAGAAAGTGTTTCACTTTCAAAAATTTACATATTGTGAAAGCTTGCGATTTGCCTTGCAAATGCAACGTCTCATTTCAACTGGGTCTTCTGGGACATGTGGAGAGGAGGTTGGCGGTGTCTCGTAATGGCGTGACGATGCTGTGAGGGGGAAGGTGCGTGGGCTTCATCCTGGATGTCGCGAGAAGCTGCGATAAGGTGTTGCTGCGAGATAGTCACATATAGGTCCTTTGCGGTCTCGCTTCGCCAACGCCCAAGTCGTTTGAAGATGCGATCTGGGACTCCCGCACTAGCTGCAACCGTGGCAGCTCCTTTGCAAAAGGAGTGGGTGCCAAGGTGTGTTGGGTCGATTCCTGCGGCTTCGAACGCTTGCATACACCATGTACGGATGGTGGTGTACGATGGGGCAGTGTCTAATGCGGACGGCGGCGAGTTGCGGCGGAAAACGCGGATCAGCGGCCCTTTGGATGTCGGTCCGTATTCCGCTAGCCGAATGAAATGGCGGGTGCACCTCACCGGACAGAGTGGTCCGTCAGTTGTGGCGACTGGGACCCATACACCCCTGCCCTCCTGGTCGGTCTTTGAGTGTGGGATTAGTAGCCACATTGCCGTTGCCTCGAATTGGATGTCCTCCCATTGGATAGCCACTAAGTCCGAGAAGCGCAAGAATGCTGAGTACATGAGCAACACGATGAGGCCTTTCTGATATGTGCCTGGTTGGCTCGATTGGAGGAATGGCCTAGCCATCGCGTGAACCTGATGAAGGGAGACGGGTTCCTTCACCCGTGCTGGTCGGGGGCACTGTCTTTTGGCGTAATCGCGTACTTGTGTCGTGAACGGGCCGCATGTTGGGTTAGCGGAGCCTGTCATTCGGTGGGCGAAGTGTGAAAATGAAACGAGGAATGAGTAGGAGCCATAGCTAGGTAAGCCCTAGCTAGGCAAGAGAGAATAAGCAAAGGAGGATGTTCACTAGAAAGCAGCAGGATACATATAGGAAACCCTAGGGGGTTGTACTCGCTATAGAGTACCCCACTGCAGGCTAGAGAACAATAACATTCTGACACACCCCCATAGTCAAAGTGGGGTATAATCAGCAGAGCAAGTAGTCCTAGAGCAGGTTCACATGCACAAGTAAAGCTAGGGGCAGTCGCAGAGGGCAAGTGAGGAGGAGGAGGAACTGTGGAAGGAGAGAAGATGGGAGGCAACAACTGAAGCTGCAGAGGCACGGGCACAGGAGCGGCTGACTCAGTGGCTACCGAAGCAAGGGCGGCGGACTACTGGAGTAACTGGCTCCGCGGCTATAGACGAGCGGCAGGAACAACGGACCCACTGGCGACTGGTGCAACAGGCTCACTGGCTACCGAAGCAAGGGCGACGGACTACAGGCGCTGCAGGCGACACGACCGCTACCTCCACACAACCTCCTCCAACTGCCCCACACCCTCGACACACACCCCCTGCTGAACCCCTAACTCCACTCCTACAGCACCCCCCTTAAACCCTAAACCCTAGGCTCCCACACACCCACCCCCCTCAGCGGCAGCTGCAGTAGTGGGAGACCAGGGAGGAGGAGGAGCAAGGGGAGTAACACACAACCGCCACCCCCACACTCCTCACCCCCAAACCCTAATTCAGGAGAACGGGCAGCAGTAGGGGTGGGGCACCGTCAGAAGCACGGGGGACAGCGAGCAGCTCAGGGACAGAGAGGAACGGGCCGCCCACGGGCCTGGCACAGCCCGACGAACCGCGCGCAGGCGGCCCGAGCCGCGCGCGGGCCTGGCGCAGCCCGTACGGGCCGCGCGCGGGCCGGGCGCAGCCCGTACGGGCCGCGCTCGGGGCTGGCGCAGCCCGCGCTGGCCAGGACGGGCGACGGGGGACGACGGGCTGGTCCCCGTCGCCCGTCGAAGCGCCCCCCGGGGGCGACGCGCGGACCGACGGGGCAGAAGGCCGCCGCGCGCCTCGGGGCGCACGGCGGGCAGAGAACCGCCGCACGCCCCGGGGCGCACGGCGGGCAGAAAACCGCCGCGCGCCTCGGGGCGCACGGCGGGCAGAAAACCGCCGCACGCTCCGAGCGCGCGGCGGGAAGAGAAATCCGTCGCACGCCACGGGGCGTGCAACACACAGAGTAGCAGCGGAAGCAGCAGTAGGGCCCACAGGCCAGGAGCGTGAGTGCTCTGAAACCATGTGAAAATGAAACGAGGAATGAGTAGGAGCCATAGCTAGGTAAGCCCTAGCTAGGCAAGAGAGAATAAGCAAAGGAGGATGTTCACTAGAAAGCAGCAGGATACATATAGGAAACCCTATGTACTCGCTATAGAGTACCCCACTGTAGGCTAGAGAACAATAACATTCTGACACGAAGCTAATCGCGGCACATGTGAGCTGCACGCTGGAGACGGTGGCCTTGTGGTTGATCGCATGCACCAGGTAGAGTGCGACTGTGAGGTCCGCGGCAGGCAGGAAGGCCGCTTTTGCCTTGACGCAAAAACTCCTAAACTTCTCCCAATAAGGTTCGTATGTGTTGATTGTTGAGTCGGACCGTGTCTGGGCCGTCATTAACAGTAGCTGCTGATGCAGCTTCGGAATCATATCTGACATCATTATGAAGAAAATGTTCATAGATTAGGAATGGAAGTTAATTTGAAGTGCAAGGATTCTGCTAACAGGGAGACCGGCTCCTGAGAATGCGCCAGTATGCGAACCGACATGCAAGCACTGGCTACCGCTAGCAAGATGCAAACACGATGTTACGCCGACTGCCCAGGTCCTGGGCGAAGGCCGGAGCAGGGGCCACCATGGAGCACCCGTCCATTCGGGAATGACTAGCGTGAGCGTCGCAGATGTGCGCGCGGCGTGGCGCAGGGAGGCCGGGATCAGGTGAGGAGGGGGAAATGCAAATCCGTGTTCTGGTCCCCAGTCCTGCGAGAAGGCGTTGACGGCAGTTGCACGTGGGTGGGGGACCTTCGAAAAGAAACGCGAGAGTTGCGCGTTATTGGCGTTTGCAAAAAGGTCAACCGTGTGTGGTCCCCAACGCCTCTCAAGTAATCGGAACCAAGGGAGTTTCAATGAATAGTCGTCGTTGTCTTCTAGCTTGGAGAGTGCGTCTGCCTCTACGTTGAGAGTCCGAGGGATCCATTTGATAGCCAGCCGAATTTCGTTTGCCATGCAAAGTGCGATGATGGACTTGCATAGGAGGGTGAGCTCGGGTTGCCCAGAACCACCTTTACGAAGAATGAAGAATACGCCCTGGTTGTCCATGCGCATGAGCACATGGCGGCCTTGAATTTGGTTTGAGAATGTGCGCAGGGCCCAGAGCACTCCTTCGAGCTCTCGGCGTGTACTCGAGGTGGTGAGGAGCTCGTGCGGCATTGGGCTGCTGCCTTGCAGGTTTTCTCCAGGGAACGAAGCTAGGGTCGCACCCCAACTGTGAGCGCTTGCGTCTACATGAATCACCGTGTCGATGCTGTGGGGCATGTGAAACGGTGCCCCGTTAAAACGATCGAAATTGTCGAGCCAGAAGTTGAGCTCGTCACGAGCCTCCAAGGTCAGGTGTGTTCTGCCATTCCATGATGGCGCATTATTGATGAGTTCTAGGAGTTGGTGACTGAATGCTCGTGCCGTTGTGCCAAGAGCCAGCGCCATGGAAGCGAGGATGCCGGTGACCCGTGCAACAAGGCGGATTGGTATCCGTTGTCCACGCTCGTAGGCGGTGAGAAGCACCCGGAGCGTATGCATGAGTTGCGCTCGACGTTCGGGGCCGATGGTGAATCTTCCTGATTGAGTGTCCAACTCCATCCCGAGAAACTGCAGTTTCTGGGTCGGGGTAAGGTGCGATTTTTTAGCGTTGATGACAAGGCCCGACTGTCGTAGGTCCCGAATGATTGCATTACGTGTCGCGCGTGCGTTCTCCTTCGATTGGCAGAGGGATAAGATATCATCCACATATGGAATGACTCGAGTACCTTGCGCACGCCATTTTCGAGCCAGTTGTTTGATCAATTGAGTGAAAAGGAAGGGTGCGGTTGCAAGGCCGAACGGTAACGACTTGAAGTAGTAATCCGTGCTGTCGAAGTGAAACCCCAGGAACTTCCAGCAGGACGGGTGGTTATCGACGTGATGGTATCCGAACTTCAGGTCGATGGAGAACATCCAGTCACCCGGTTGTGCCAACTCGGCGACTCGCGCCAAGCCTTCGTACTTGAATTTAGGAATAACGAGGTACTGGTTGACTTTTCTCAAGTCCAAGATAAGGCGACACTTGTCGCGCTGTTCCACGACGTTTAGTGGACTAGTACATGCGACGAGGAGTGGGCCCTCTGCGACTGCTGCTGCACCGGACGAGAGCAAGTCGGAGATTGCCGATCGTGTAAACTCGCTATGCGGCTCGACGCCGGCATGATTCTTGTTACGAAACGACGGTGGTGGGGCCGCTTTCCAAGGAAGCCAATATCCATTTGCTATGAATGACAGGATGAGACTGCTCTCGCACCATGAGGCCCACCAAGCGAAAGCTTGGCGCAATCGACCCCCCATGGTGGTGACTTCCTTGTCAGTGATCGCATGCT